GACTCCGACACCCGACACTGGACGACACACAATTGACTTGAATAATGTAATTAACAATGGGTACATTCATGGAACATTCATTTGACAAATTATACCTACGTACAAAAATATGAATCCGCTGTATTGTTAATTCACATTCGTCCTCTTAAGACATAGCAATGTAACATTGTGCTGAAGAAATTGTCCAAGGAAAGCGTACACTCAAGAAAAGTAATTAAAAACATAACGACATCGTGGCTCGGCTCGCCGGGCGCCACTAGAGGGCGCAGGCGGCGTGTTTGGACAACTCGAATAAATACCAGGAGCGTCTGAACTGTAGCGACAATACAGCGCTGTACTCAGCTACCTGTAGCTCCGGCTGCATTCTGTAGGGATGTTGTAGCTGTAAGTTGTGGCCAACTTATTTAAATTAAACTTAACTTGTGAGTAAATACTTATTCTTTTGAATACCCCACATTAACTGCAGCACATTAGGTAACGTTTTAGTTTTTATCTGAAACATATATGTATATTCTATGCTGAAACGGTACTGCCGAGTTATTGGGCAGCGCGTTGAAACTCAAGAGCTGTAAAAATTTCATAAAACTCATAAAAGGATTTTCTTATGAATTTCCTTAAAAACTCAATTATCGTTACCATTAAGAAATTAAACACAAAAAAGCATTATAAAGTTAGGAAAGAAAATAAAATGTGTTAACTTTGTAATTATCAAAAGCGATGTAATTTGCGCGACGTAGCGTCGTTAATCACAAGACAAAGCTTCGGTCAAAGTATTTTTGTTTATAAACCAAATAATCCGGAGATAATAAGTTTAGCTTTGTTTCCAAAAATACCGGCCACTAAATAATTGATAACGTATATCTGCCGGAGTGAGGTCCCGCTGCCTCGGACAGACAAATATTATAATCCTCATTAGAGAGGGAAGCGATGCCATTGAATTAATGACGTCTGAGGGAGCAGCTGAAGTGAGCCCTCAGTCGCGTCGCGTAATATTGGCGGCTGTGCCACGGCCGGCCCTTCGTTACGTGTACCCCGTGTTATCCAATCAAATGTCGTCTCTTTTTTGGGCCGGAATATTTCATAAATTTCAGGAGACCCTATTATTTCCATATTTTAAGTGCGACCTGGTTCACCTAAGTAAGCTAAGCTAGTACATTCTGGAACTTCTAAAGAAAGTACTTTTTTCTTTGATCTTGATTAAATTAATTGCTTCAGGTAATTGGGTTGTCTTGTACGTATGTATACATTCGCGTGTTTACAAGATCCCAACCATACTGTATTGTAGAACATTCGTATATAATGTCGACTCTTTTACTCTGATGTTAGTATCACTACTTCACTAGGCTTTTAATGTAAAAACTTTTGTGATGAATGTAAGGAACATGCGACAGTGGAGAGACTAAACGTTCACAACTTGGGGCAGTCATCCTAATGTCTTAAGATTATGTTCCAATTATGTTGTTGTCTAGCATTATTGTAGTGACACATGTTTTGTTCCAAGTAACAGTAACATTATCTTTGTTTCGTGATATAAATGGACGTCGGTGTCACACAGTTGCCCGAGCCTCAGACAATTATTTTCTGCTCGACGGCCCAAAGAAATGTCAATAAGTTATGAGGGAGAAAGCAAACGTCCATTGCTTACGCGTTTCGTCTCAGAGCAATTTGTTTTATGTCAGCCGGTGAAAGATCCGCAGCGAGCAGCGAGCCAGCGCGCCCTTCCATCAACCAATATCTTATTGCTTTCCATTCAATTTCGCTATTAATGCCTGTCGGCTAGTTTCTGACCTAGATTACTTTACGGAGGGGTCGACCATCTCATTTTGCAAACATATTTCTTTATTTATACTGCTAACAGTTTTGCAAATGATACTCAGTTGTTAACATTAACTGTAATAATTACAAAATACATGACATACAACAGTATCAACACGATAGTGTTTGTAGAAAACATAACAGGCTCTCAGAACTTGTGTTACCTCTCCAGACTACTTCCAGGAACATAAGGATTCGTTTATTTATTTAATCAATGGATCGTTATGTAGATAGTGTAAATGTGTATTTAGATAATATCGCGCAGCTAGTTGTCTACTAAGCGGGTGTGATAACCGTCGCTGAGCGGAGACAGCCCGCTAACGATGTTACTGGCAGCATGGCGGCATGTGTCGCGCCCTGCCCTGCCTGCACTAACATCGGCTTAAGATAGTTTACACTAACTACTCATGCCGCGCAGTTACTACGTATTAAACTCCAAACGCCGCGACGAAGCAGGTGGAACGCGATTACATTTTATAAGCACTTTGTTAGTTTACAAACATCAGACTAAAGTTAATTTCTGCTACCGTTTCAGAATATTTTACATTAATTTACATAGGTAGGAGCCTCCCTACTTACCCTCAAATAGATTTGTTTGTTCATCAGTCCGTCTCCACTGCAAATGTCAAGGGCCATCATTACAAAAGTTGTTTACGAAGTATTACAGTAAAAAAGAGCATTTTCACAAAACTCAAGTCCCGAATTTTCTCTTTACTCAAAGAACTTTTCCTGAAAGAATTTCATAAAACGTCCACAAACTAAAACAAACAATGAATGCTTTAAAGTGGAACGACCTCTCACCTTTTCACGAAATTCTATCGAAGAAAAACTGGAGGTCATTGGGTAACCGAGAGTCTCGGAGTTGAAACATTCGTATGCAGATGACGCTCGCAACCGTCGACGTATCGCCGCCGCCACGCCGCCGCCCCGGCCCCGCGCTCTAACGATATGGGTCCTGAGGTACCTGGGACCCCGATACCGAGCCTATATCTCCACCGACGGAATGCAAATGGCGCAGAATGTGTCGTATATTTCTTCAGATAGAGGGCGTCAAAAAGAAATTCAAAGGATAAAAGATCTTTTGTGCCCAAACAGACTTATGTTGCTACATTTTTGATACTAGAGGTAGTTGGGCAAAAATATCTCAACATTATTTTAAGTATTACTTGACACAGTATCCGCCGCCCTAACAAATCGACTTTATAAAATGCTTGTGTACCTACTCGACAATGTTACTACATTGTACAAACGTTCTACTACTGTAGAACGTTTGTACAATGTCGCAGTAGTAACTCCTCATCAGGCAGATTCCAGACGTAAAAATAAGATTAGTGTAACGCGACACGCGACACGCGACGTCTCGCACAAGCTATTACAACGAATTGAGGAGAATAGCGTATTCTCAGCCGGCAAACTAGCTATTTGTATTCATTACGTACTTTATTTCAATTCTCTTCTCTAGTGGAAAAGAAAAGGTCGTTAAAACTTTTTGTAACATTATAAACATATGGGTACACGACATAAACTAGCGTTGTATTGGACTCAATGTGTGCTGCAATCGTTGATCGAGCTAGATGACAAGAACAAATAATTGCTTAGTAGTTCATAAATTGACGTAATGAATGCATCATGTGATGACATAATTACGTTCGCAGGATCATTGTTATCATTTATTTAATCCACACTGTAAAAGTGCGGTAGTTGCGTTGAAAACTACAAAAATCATTTATGAAATCATGAATACTTATAAATCTCGATATTTCGATGAAAATAATTGTATTATTATCTTTACTAAGTACTCCAAGATATTGTAAGAGTCGCGCCGGATCTGTCATGTCATATATTAAATGTACACATTCCATAATATTGTATAACTGTCTGGTGTCTAGTGTTCGAACCCTTCGAGTGAGCCTGGTTTAGTATGCAGCCCGGGCTCCGTGCCTAACAGGTGGCCAGGTCAACACTTCCAATCCACTCCGTACGGGACACCTTGGCATATCATCCCGCAACCTTTCCCCGAACTGATAAAACTAACTTTACGGATTAGGTACGTTTACTGATATTAAGGCATGAGACCTTTTCTTTAAGTTAAAAATTATATTTCTAACATTATGAACAGTTAATATGTTTAGCACTAGGTTTAAACCACAAATTAAATAGAACAGTTTTAAGAAGGTACGTGTAATGTGTTTGGACGTGGATTAAGAAAAGAAGACAAAATAGGACACTTTAGGTTAATGTGAGGATGCATGACGGGTGCTCTCAAGCGTCGTTGAGCGTCGTCTGGTGGCGACACGGGGAGACCATTTGTCTTGTTCCCGCCACCGACAGTTGAGACAAAAACTAAAGTCCCTCTGCACAGAGTCAACTTTGTATAGGCAACATTTACACACGGAACGTCTCCACCTCGGACGAGCGCTGCTAAGTCTCCGCAAGAAAATTAATTGGGAAACTTGGAACGTGTGAGGAGCGTGCGAGGTGCGTGGAAGGTGCGTGGAAGGTGCGTGCGCCGCGCTCTTGTTTGTATTCGACGATTGTTTCCTCACTTCCGTATTGTGTGATCGGCTTTTGATGTAAGCCCCTTTACAATTTCCATTCTTGTTGCTACAAAGAAAAGTTAATCAACGTGGGAGTGGAGCGTGAGTTCTGATCATTTGCTACGTTTTCCTGTTCCGAACATTCTTTTGTCTCATATTTATGATTGTGCTAAGCTGCGACCGCGTTCACCTTGCTGCCTTACGGGTCGTCTTATCATTTCTCGTTCGAGGAACATAATTAGACATTTTTTACATAGAGAGTAATGTGTGCCGTGTCACCCTCCTCAGTGGCGTGCAGTGACACAGGCTGACACCAGGTGCGACAAAGCCGCCAGGAATTACAAGCGTAAAGCCTTTTGTGCACGGACGCTTTTTTGTTGGATTGTTCGTTTGAAACAACTACCTACAATACTCTTGTGCCGCTTAGAGACATTTGAAAAAACTCGACATTTTTAAAAATGAAAAAGGTCAGGTTTCCCCAGCGTATCATGTTGTACCTGCAATTCGTTATTTGGAGCTTTAATACAATATATTATGTATGTAACGTTTTCACACGTAGTTTCAATACTACCTAATCTAACACTGTTGTTAGATTAGGTAGTGTTGAATTAATTATAATTTATAGAATTTGTATTTTTGTTATGGCAGGCAATCGTCGCGTGATGGCGCATGGATTGCTTGCGGACGGCGTGGTGCTGGTGCGCGGCGCTGGTGCTCGCGACGCTGGCCGCCGCCGGCCCGCGCTACAGCAGCCGCATCGTGCACACACACGCAGGTAATGTACTACCTGGCGACGTGAAGTCAGGAGCTCGATGACCACTCACAAATTACTCTCACGTGATACATACGTCCCGGAGTACATATGTAACATACGTCCCGGAGTTTATTTGGTTACAGACACGTACCTAGGCAGTAAGTATCCAGGTACGGTATAACTATACATACGTCATGTCCCCGGGGTCCCAACCTCGGGAGATTTTAATTCCATCAGATCCCGGGACAATCCAATCAGCCAGCCTCCCCACTGCACGGTGGGTAAACGATGTTGTCCCGATTTGCAGACGCGCCGTAGGAATGTGGGATCAAATTAATTATTGTTTGAAGCCGATTCGAGGCGTACCGGCAAATAGGATAAATGGCGGCTTTCCGATACGCAGCTCGCCGGGTGACTCGGGTGATTCGGCCAATTTATTTATTCACTGCTGTCTCCGCACTGCCACTGATTTAGCCTCGTTTTGCTCTCCACCCAACGCTATGTCAAAGGGAAACACAGTTATCAACTGTTTTTACAAATTACTGGTGTGTTTGTTGGGAACTGGGATCTACAGCGCATCTGTTTTCAATTTCAAGAGTTTCGTTATTTGATGATTTTAACAAAGTTTGTTCAGTGAGTTCATCTACGTGGTAAATATAAATACAAAAATGTAAAATAATTATAATTATACAGGAACACTAAGGAAACAATGCCGGTATCTACTAATTGAAGTGAAAACTTTCACTAGAAACTTTAAAATTTAAAAAGTTGTGACTAGTGAGCATTTTGATGTTTAATGAAACAGGAGCGATCCGCGGCATCATAGTGGAGCCAGCATCTCGTCGCTTGGAGCCAGTGGAGGTGTTCCTGGGGGTACCGTACGCGGGGGCTCCGGCTCGCCTGGCGCCGCCGCCCCCGGCCCCCAGTTGGCCGGGCACTCGTCTCGCCGACGCCTTCGCCCCCGTCTGTCCGCAGCGTTACCCCGACATATCCAACAAGTAAGTACTTTTCGTTGCTGGAACCCACTTACCCACAGATAAGCAGCAGCATCCGTTCTACGATACCTACTACCGAAATTATAACAATCCTCTCCTCCTGTGAGGGAGAGCATCTTGCGGCTGATGACGGGGACTTTGTTATGAATATCAAAAACAAAGACGTTTTAAGTGTATCTACGATGTGTTGCGCAGGAGTGCGGCACTAGCCAAGATGCCGCTGGGCATATACAACGAACTGAGAGCGACGGTGCCGCTCCTGGCCAACCAGAGCGAAGACTGCCTGTACCTCAACATCTACGTGCCCGGTAGCGGTGAGTTACTTGACACATAGTTTGTATATATACACATTACTGTTCATTAGCTTGGTGTTACTGAGCGGTATCGTTACAGGCGCGCGCGGCGTGGAAGCGCCGTACGCGGTAGTGGTGTGGGCGGGCGGACCGTCACACGAATGGGGCACCGCCAACGCACTGGACGGCGCCGTGCTAGCTGCGCGCGCGCATCTTCTCGTCGTCACCATCAACTATAGACTAGGATTGTTAGGTACGACATACGTGCTTCATACTTTGGAAAGATAAAATCATTTGTAATTTCAAGGATAGAACCATGCTATTAAATGCAATTGTCCATATTACCTTTACTTGCGTGTACAATAGCTGGGACGATGTGTAAATATTCCGATCTCTGATCAGGTTATTTAACTCCGGGCGTGAGGTCCACGGCGGTACAGGCGGCGGGCGGTGCCGCAGTGCTGGACGTGGCCGCGGCGCTGGGCTGGGTGCGGCGCAACGTGGCGTCCTTCGGGGGCGACCCGCGGCGCGTCACCCTGGCAGGCCACGCCGCGGGGGCTGCGCTTGTCAACGCACTGCTCATGTTACCCGACAGTAAAGGTGGTTACTTTACCTACCAACATGTTACATTTAGAAATGAACACGTAAGTTGGTACGTGAAACTGTAGAGAGATTAAAACTGACAAACACATTTGTCGCCCTCGTGTACAATAGACGGGTATAGTCTCCAATGTTTGACTGCACTGTTGGCGCAGTAGTTGGGCAACTGGCTGCCACGTAACGTATCGCGGGTTCAATTCCACAGATTGTTCCAAACGGAACAACTCTTTGTGTGATCCACAGATTGTTGTTTCGGGTCTGGGTGTCATGTGTATGTGAACTTGTATGTTTGTAAATGCACCCACGACACAGGAGGCAATGCTAGAGTGTGAAGAAAAAAAAAAGGTTTGACAATCTCTCATTGTATTGTTACTATAGAAAACAAGAAATTTTATAAACTCCATCAATATTATCCAAAGTTTTCAGCTTGAATAATCTGACATTTGTGAGCTACTTATTTCGATTTAGCTCAAGCGAGCTCAGTACATACTTGCTGAACGTTTATTGCCAACTGAGTTAGGGACGGCTGAAATGATTAAATTGTACATATTATATGTAACATATAAGTGGTAAGTGAATATACAGACGAACAGCCGAGATCAATACACACAAGACAATAAGCTCCCAGGCAATCCATTTAACGCTAAACAAACACACGGGGTAATTTAGTCCCTAACAAAAATATTTACCTAGACGTAGTAACGGGCGTAGTATATGTACGTTGGAGATATATATCAAGATATATTATATTTGGGACAGATTGCCGCGGCTCACTGAAATATTCCCAAAGCGATCGTTTCACTACGTTTCGCAGGATATTGCATATTGCAGCTTCACGAACACGTGCCATCAATATAAAATCAAAGAGAAAATTGTGCACAAATAAAATATGTACGTATATGTTTTAGGATATCGTGTATAATTGCACATGTTATGTACACGTCAATAGTTACGTATTGAGTATCATATTTCCGTATATTTTTTTGTTATCAGTATCAATATCCGATTTTTCACTTTATTTGGAATGTTAACACTACTATTAAAATAATACTAACACGATTTACTTTGTTTTTCATTGGATTAGATTTGTATATTAAAGTAATAATTTGTCTCTGCCATGGTCCACGCCTAGAAGTAACAGTACGTTGTACATCAGGGCTGGTGTCCCGCGTGCTGCTGCTGAGCGGCTCCGCTCTGAGCCCGGCGGCGCTGGCGCCCGACGCCGCGCTGGCCAGGGAACACACTGCACAAGCTCTGCGGTGTACGCCGGAAACCACCAATGATGAGAACTGGTGACTATTCATTCGGTTAAGAACCTGAGATGCAGGAATATCAACTACGCAACGATGTCATAATAAAAATTAAGACAAGTTGCTTATTATTTACATAAGAATATTTGGTAGGTTTGTAGAGTGCATTCGCGCCCGTCCACTAGCGGCACTCCTGGCAGTGGAAGCCCCGAGAGCGCGGTTTTTGGCTGGCTGGGCCCCATCAGTACCCGTCTCCCGGGACGTTGGCTCGCAAGGACAAGCCCCTACCAGAGCGCTGCATGCCAGTGAGACCTTTCTCGACTGCGCACTCGCTGTAGTGGTCGCCACCACTGAGAGCTACCAGTTCTTCAATGAAGAAGACATTCGGCATGGCTTTGAAGAAGAGCATAGGTTCGTTTACCAGTTTTTATTCTTATCTCTAATAAAATAAAGTATGATTTTAATTTTAACTTTGTATTGTACCGTACAGGAACCGCATCCTCCGAACATACGTCCGCAACGTGTACCGTTACCACCGCAACGAGATCTTCGCAGCCATACGGAACGAGTACACGGACTGGGAGAAGCCCATCCAGCATCCCATCAACATCAGGGACGCGACGCTGGAGTCCCTCAGCGACGCCGCCGTCACTGCACCAGCTCTCAGGGTAGCACAACTACATGCTCGGAGAGGGGCCAGGACATACTTCGCACACTTTGCGCACCAAAGCAAGGATGCTGACTACCCACAAGTACGTTCCAAATAGTGTGAATCTACCTCAAGTGAGCCAGGCAATTGATATTATAGAGTAGAACGTCAATCTTCTTAAGTTGTTAGTTTTAATATCTCTTTGCAATAATGTAGCATAATGTGTGGGTGAACCAATTACCGCGGGGCGCTGCGACAGCCACGTTGTAATATGTGAATGAATTAGGGAGGCACGAGAGGTCATTAATTTACTCACAATCTACGCGATCACCACATTTGTCAAAACTTCCTGTAATGAATAATTAGCTCATTTGCATTATCACTAACGTCATAAAAGTACAGTGAAATGAATAATTGCCCGCTAATATATTGTTCTCATTTTATATTTGGTGAAAATATCTGAGCATTACGGGCAGCAGTATCCAATAGCGTTTGGTGAACTAATTGTGATCCGCTTTAGTGAGGCGTCCAGTAAGCGTGGGGATTATGGTTGTCATTTAATTTTGTCGTAGTTGTTGTTGATGTCGAGGTAAAATAAATATTTGTACCCTACAGCGGCTAGGCAGTGTTACGAGTGAGACGCTGGCGTACTTCCTGGGGCTGCCCCTGGTGGGCGGCATGCAGCTGGCGCCGCGGAACTACTCGCGCGGCGACGTGGCCGTGGCGGAGACGGCCGTGTCCCTGCTCGCTGCCTTCGCCAAGACCGGGGACCCCACACCACGAGCTGAGGACAGGCATCACGACGGAGCCACTACCTGGCCGAGATACGAGATGAACACTCAACAGTATTTAAGTATAGGTAAGAACGAATGTCTAGTAAAATAATAAGTTTCCTCTCCCTACAAACACAAAGCTGCTGCACTCACTCTAATACCCAATCTGTTTCATTATGTTTTGCTTTCCCACGTTTGACAGCGACATAACTCACTTGAGTCAAAAACAGCTCCATAAATAGGTTAATGTAATTCATTGTGCACGTAACGCGGCTCGCGTCGCGCCCGCGCCCGGCCGGTGGAAGTGCGACGTGTGCGTACAAAACAAGGGTGAACCGAACAACACGCAGATTTTTCATCTAACTCTGATCTGAGAATAAAATCTCGCACGCCACCAAGTTAATCAGATAAGGCGCTGCTCAAAGTTTCAGCTCCATATTGTGTCGAAACTCGTTATTTTTACGATCTGCTTTCCCAACGAATGTGCGTGTTTTCCCTTTCCCCTACATCTAAGGGTTTACAACTTGTTTAATCCTTTCGTTACGGTGTTTCTTACGTTTTCTTACAATAATATGTGGTACTGTGAACATTTATTATTTTTCTTATAAAATTTTGTTTGACCTTACCTAAATATTCCTAAAACCAGTATATTAGAGATATCTTTTCTATTCTCGGGATCACACAGTCACGGACCATTTGAGGGGCCGAATCGAATTCGCTGAGGCCCGCTAAACAACTTTCTTCGGAATGAGATGGTAGTTTTTATTATTTGTTCAATCATGTAAATTCGTGGTTTTTGCGACCCTAGGCAATGACTGGCTCTAATATGTAGTACTTGTGTAAATATTACTATGGTATTGTCGTACCGCCAGGTACCAAGCTCCGAGTGAAGAGTCACTACCGCGGCCACAAGATGGCGCTGTGGTTGCATTTGATCCCGCAGCTGCACCGGCCGGGCGCCGCGCCTCGTCATCACCAGTTCAGGTCCATACATCCGGACATGTTTGCAGGTCAGTTTCAATAATAAATGACTGCTGTAACCCTGGTTGGCACTCCCTGTTACTGAGAATGTTTTGAACATAATTTTCATGAATTCTTTAACCGAGTTGACGAACAAACTTCGCTCAGCGAAGTCAGTGTGTCTGCAAGTATGTTTCCATAAGAATTCCCTATGTAGTTGCCGCACGTGACCGCTGCGGAAGGAATTCCCAAAATTCCGTCCAAATTGTGGGATAAATGGTGGTCTGTTATAATAGTTGATGCGATAAGTTCCTGCCTTCATTTGCTTCCTGAACTTTCTCGTCGTAGTAAATGTGTATGACCTAAGTACTTTCTACGTTTATTCTAACTTTAGCTTATACGTAAATAGGTCTTTTATATTAAGACAACTTGTTCCAAAACTGCGAAAAATAAATAAGCACCTATAATATTTTATACTCACTAATACAGTAGACCACTTGCTCCAGTCAAAGCATATTGTAATAAACAAACATACAAACGATTGTATGCACCGCATTATGATTTAGACCTGTAATATTTGAAGAATAGATTTCAGTTGTAATTGGTGGTGAATAGACGGTGGTGGAAATTTGGCCAATCACCGCACAACATAGGCGCAGCTTTAATGGAAAGCAAATTGGTAACGTCTACCGTTGCTTAAATTGAGCATGCCTTATTATCCAGAGCCATTAGTGCTATTTCCTGGCGCGGCGCGTAAACGGAACGCCCTCATTAACCGCTCCCCCTCCTCCTCCCCCCCGCCGGTACCGCTTCCCGTTATAAATGTTCAGGAGCACTACGACTATAGGTCGAGCGTGAGCGGAGTCTGGAGCACGCAGTAAACAACACGCGTGAGATTATATTAATTGGAAGAGCCGTCACTGAAAGGATTCAAGTTTGAAAGCTCCACACAGTTTGAATACTAAATAATGGCTCAGAAGCCAAAGAGAATTCAAGCTTTAAATTTCTTCGAGCGTGACAAGTTGGCCCGCACAGGCACTACTACTTGCTAGGCGCTGCGCGTCGGTTTTGTTTATATGCTTCCACAGACCAGACATTATACAGCGGGTCTGCGGACCGTGGAGTGATACGTGGCTGCGGGATTGTGTTTGGAATGTATAAAAATATAAGTTGTCGCCAAAATATTTGGTAGACAAGTGATTAATGGCGGAAGGTGTCACGAATGAAAATAAATCGATCAGGGAGTGTTTCGGGTGGGCCGGAGCTGTTATTAATTGTCCCGCGAATGGCTGGAATTCCTCCATAATGAGCGGTATGGGAAGAATGGCGCGGTCTGGTGGCGAACAATGCGGGCCCTTTGTCACGGACAACTTCACTCGCTGGGGCTGCGACACAGCGACACGCATACAATCCTGGAGTACGTGTATTGTTGCCTGGAAGATATGCTCTTTATGTTCGCATGCTTGGGATTACTTTCCAAAGAATATTTACGTCCAAAACGGTCTTCAAAGTGGAGCAGGTCATGTTTTGTTAAATTTTTCGGAGCCGAATTTTAGTTGACTCTAGCTAGAGACCGCATGAACGTCTTTAAAGTGTTGGAGACAATTTTACGTCCCACGTAGAACATTAAACTGGGACCGTTAGAATGAGTTGTAAGAAAACATTAAAAATATTACAAGTTTAAGATCTAGTGTGACTTACAATTCGATGCTACAGAATAGACAGTTATTTACTAATTAAGACATTGTCCTACAAAAAGCTAACAATCCATGCGCCCACGTTTGTCCGGCAATTGAGCGCTAATCTGTACGTGATAGTGTGTGTGGGAGGCTGCACACTGCTCGGTGGCGGTGACTCGGCGCCCATCACATTTTGTTTACAAGCGATCCCGCGCTAATTACCACAGCCGCTGAGATTGTGGGTTGTCTCTATTGCTGGATATACAGAGTTAGACGTGTTTGCAATTGTATTACTTCACAAAATTTCATTTATCTCAACTTTAACTTTAATTTAACAAAAGAGTTGAGTTATGAAAAAGAAAAGATTAATCATAGTTTCCACAAACAGTGTGTAGTTGAGTGGCAAACGAGAACATTAAAGTGTCGATATCTGAACCAGGAAAGTCGGCGCGCGGCGGTCTCAGCAGCTGCCTTTGTTCAGTTTCCTGCCACTCGCCGCAGGGCTGCCGACTCAATGTAGACAATTTGCTAGGAGCCGACGTTGACGGCCATTCAATATCATCACAAACGAAAACTTTGATTGGATGCCCCTTCATGAATTCCATGAAATGGTTCTTTAACAACACTTAAAAATTGAACAAGTCTTTCTTATTATAAAAAGTATTTTGATAATAGCTATCGGGGTAATAATTTCCATTTCATGGCTGAATTTTATATTTCAGCGAGAGTTTACCCAAGTTGGTCTATCCTACCGCACGAATACGTTTATATTTTTGATGCGTTTGGATGAGGTTCCACACTCGAACGTAGTTCAAGAGGCCCGTGTTGGAAACAATAGTAGTGCACAGTCGCCGGGACATGTTCCAGTTCATCCTTAGCTTTACAAAAGAGATCGCGGTGCGGGCGGCGGGCGGCGGGCGGCGCGCGGTGGCGCCGACAATCGCTCTTTGTGCGAGTAGGCACAACTTGGGATCGCCTGCATTGTGCGCGCGTCCACCATTCATTACCAGCCTTTGATAACTTCAGGGATCGCTTTCTTGTTCAGATATGTTCTATATTGGTGAGCTATTTACTTTGCCATTATATTGACAATCTATTGAATTTCATGCGGTTATCATATCTTGCGTGAAATGGGTAGCTCTGTGAGTTGGTATGGGCAGCTTCGACTGGAACAAACGGGATGATATCCCTGAACCATTTGTTGTAAGGCAGTGATTAACTGAGGATTACTCTGTATTAAGCAGTGGCGTGCAGTCCATATAGGCGAAAAGGCATTGCCTACCTATAAATATCGTGAATATATAACATACATATAATGTACAAACGCGTTTATTAAAATTCAATAATATAATAAAAGTTTGTAAAAAAACGGCTAACATAAATACGCGCCTTTGTAAAGTAATGAATGCGCCCCGCACGCACCACGCATGCGCCACTATTCCTTAAATCTTGGTTGGCAGTAGTGACGTCACAAAAGAAATGTACCAAAAGTATGCACCGCGCATGCGTGAAGTTCACGACCATAGTCACGGTACAGAATAACCATTCATAATTATATTACGCGATTCCTGTTGATTGACAAAATGTTTGCAACTAAAAAATTAGAGGACCGTTCGTTCATCACTTGGAAAACGATCGTATTTTATTAAGAATTCTAAATACAATAAAACAACAACAAGTTATTGTATTTTTAAAAACAATTAAATCATAAAAGGATTTAAATTGATAAAATTTGTATGTATATCGTAAAGTACTGATGAATGGAGTACACCAGCGCCATCTATTGAATTTTTTGTTGAAACTTCTGAACTCGTTCGATATAATGCGAATGTATTTTTATAAATGCGTATTTAACAAATATTTTTCAAGTGTTTTAATTAAAGTTTAACATTTTTACGCGTTGTCGGTTTATAGAAATTTTAAACGAGGAGTTGACTTTATTATTATAAAAGTTAAAAGGAAGTTATTGATACGTCAAGATGGCGCCATTAACAACGTTTCAAATTATATGAATGAATGTTTTTTAGTATGAAATATTGGTTTAAGACGATGATGCAATTTCATTTGACTTACTAAATTAACGTTTGTTTTTTTGAAATTAAACGCTGCGTTACCTTAATTTTTAAGCTACATTTTTTTTATAATAAACACTCAATTGACTATTGGTAATGACTTCAATTCATTTCCAATGTTTTCGGCCATATTGTTTTCATGTGATGTGCGATCGCTTTGTTTATGTTTTCGTTTAAATTATTAGGAATTAGTTTTAAACATAAAGTTGCATAAATGTGTAGTAGTAGTTAAATATATGTGTAGGTTTTTCAAATAGTGTATTTGTTTCTCAGTTTCTAGTACAAGTACCTATATTATTCGATTGTGAAGTGTGTGTGAATAATAGGTAATTTTATGTGTTTGTTGAAAGTAAAAACAGTAAGATTTCGCAATGTCCTTTATCGGACTAGATTCAGGTAATGACCATAGGCAGAGGTGTACTCGAGTTACGAGAATTGACCCAAGTAAAAGGTAGGTAATGTAAATATGTACTATAATGGATCTTTTATTTGATTTTCTTGTTTATTGTTTGATAATTCTTAAAAATATCAACTTAGACTTCGGGTTGTACTGATTCACATATTAATTTATTATTAATATTTATGTAATGTAGTAATAACAAATGTACCGCATAGACTCGGCCGGCTCGGCCACAGCCGGCCGCGCTTGTTATTGTTTTGTTTGTTGACATAATGTAGGTACCTACGCTCTTAAATTCGTAATATATTATGATTTTGACCAGATTGATTAACCTTAACAATTCCATAATGAAATTTGGTTCATCAAATTTATGCTTCATTATTAAAATAAATAATAGATCTTTCATTATTTGTAAGTTTTGTTGGCTTATTCAATAGCTGATGAAGTACTTCACAAAAAATACGCGAGATGTCAGTGTATGTAATTTGGCGAAACAATACACCACAATATTCTTGAACGCACTTTTCAAAATATATTATGTACATGTACCTATCTTGTGTGAGCATGATTGTATGACCGGCGGGGGGGGAGAGGTTTAATCATACGATATTTAGTTGCCTACCCTGTCTCGAAAACCTGTGCACGCCACTGGTATTAAGTAACGATGAATAATGAAACTGTTTAGTTCAATTTTACGACCACAGAGTTACTACCAGCATTCGGTTAAAATTTAATGAAGTGAATAACATTCTTGGAGTCGAAGTTGGCTACAACTAGAAATACTGCGTTTATTTAAACAATGCTGGCTTATTAAAATTCCACTCGATCCTTAGGAACAGTCGCACAGACCTACTCGCTGGGAACTAACATTTTTGAGCCGAGACCTAGAGACTGACATGGAACTTAATTAGTTTAAATTCTTAACATTTCATAATGGGCACTGTAACTTTTTATGTCAAAAACGGTTAATTAGAAAGAAGTTGAGGCCTAGTTTTGTACTTGATTATAAATTAATAACTAAAATATTAATTAATTGGCCTTCTATAGTTTCTGCTATAGTATCAAAATAGCTTAAAGTTTTAGTTCACCGTGTAATTGTGTTGTGTGTTCGTACCAAACTTAAACGTAGTCCGATTAGGCCAAGGTCTTTATATTTCAGTACTCACTGTTAGTGGACTGACTTCACTCCCGCGTGACAATATGACATTCACCAGACGTACCAGCGACATGACATAGTCTATATTTATTATAAGAGTAATGTTGTATTCCGTATGAACAAATAGGACACTGACTATTACTTAATTCAATTTAGGCGAGATATTCCCTGAGCTGTACACGACCACGTCCGCTCTGGATGACGAGGAGGACAGCACGGAGCCGGAGGAGGACTCCTCAGAAGTAGAGGAGTGCGAGCCGTCCCCCTCCCCGCGGCCCGCACTGTCCGCGCTGCCGGCACCACAACCCTCGCCCAAGGAGGACTCCCTCACCAACCTGGACTCCCAGTACTACAGGTAAGTTGTTCAATAAATTCTAGACTATCAAGATTATGTTATGGAGTTGGTTACAACAGAATGGTCCCGACAGAATGGTGATTGATGTCAACACTACTATTCACTGTACGGTACATGTAGCTACTCACTATATTGTTGTATAAAGCTATAATATTGTGACAAAAACATTAGTCTCCGCTATCCGCAACGTCCACGTTGTGGAGCAAACTTCGTACCCAATTAAGAGACGAAACTCTGTTGTGTTGTAGAAAAATGAATAGAAAGTATTGAGGGTATTTTGAAAGCTGCACAAAAAGTAACGTAACGATGTTTACCGTAATAAGATAAACAAGTGACGAAAAAAGAATTTGTTGAGCTGAAGGGAGCGACAATCTCCGGGGAGCTAAGCCAAACAAAACCTCGGTCCGGGCGCGTCACAGCGGAACATTACAATACGAAGTCGTACGGGAGCCGCTGTGGAATGTTCGCTGTCATTAAGATGTTGATCCACATCTGAAGTCCCTGCCAGCTCAGCCACAACTTGCAACAACACTCCAACTTTCTCCTAGTTTTACAGAGACATTCTGCTTCCCACATACGTCGCTGCCTACCTAGTACCTACATACATGTTTTTATCATAGCACAAGTTTGTTGGAGACTTGGAGAACAGTAGACACTTCCATGTGATGTTTTGTATTAGTTGCTCGTCCGAACTTGGACATGAATCTCGAGTAGAAAGCGACATAACAACAAAGACAATGTATCAGGTTGCTACCGATCAAGCACGTAAACAAGGGAAGTGTATTTATATTGTTCCACATTTCACTTTTCTTTTTTCATTGTTTAATACCTTCCATTGAATTTGATAAAGGGAGTAAAACGGAACAGAGAGCCGATCATAGCGCACAAAGTGGTTCTCACGAGCGCTGTTAAACTTTCATAACATGTAAATGTTGGCGCGGCGCGGCTCGGCGCGGCTCGGCGCGGCTCGGCGCGGCCCGCTCCGTCACCTGAACACACTCTAAACAAGATTGATCGGAGCATTTTGTAGCGAGCCTCGTAATCTCGCTAATGTGTTTACTTACCTGTTTGCCTTCCTGAATTCTGTCCCTTTTGTCTCGCATATAATGTCTTAATGCCGACCCATTTCTCAAGGGGAGCGTTTTTTCCTCCAGACAACTGGATACTGCTGATAATGGTAATGGATCGCACCGAACTTCGGACTGAATTACCTGGCCTCTGTGTCATCTCGGAATAATGATTCTCATGTTTCAAACGGATGCGATGACATAACAATATGATTTTGTACATCGGAGTTCAATCGTCTCTTATATCTTCAATTTACTATTAACATAATGCCGAATCGTTCGTTTGACCTATTTCTGAAGCTTGCCGAACAAAAGCACGAGTTCAATATACTTCAGCATTTCAATGACGTGATACTTTATCGGAATCACAAATGAAAAATTCGGAGTAAACGACACTTTGCATACACAATATAACTCTACAGATGATTATATCATTTTCTTTTATGAAATGCAAATAAAGAAATATTTTTATTGTATATGATTTGCGATTATTCCGTTGTGACGTAGCTACACGGTGGCGCTGGGCGTGACGGTGGGCGCGGGCTGCTTCCTGCTGGCGCTGAATGTGCTGGTGTTCGCCGGCATCTACCTCCAGCGCGGCCGGCGGAGAACTGCGCACCGCCGCCCGCGGAGAGAAGGTCAGACCTGAGAAGCTTTCACAATAATTACTTCCCCGAGTCAACATCACTAAAGACGTCTCTAGCCGTGACCTTTCACCAGACGCTCTGAAATTGTTTCGTCTGAACGAATAAAAACCTCCAAAGTAACGTCGAGTCAACCGCTTATCTTTCCAGTTCAATGAAACGTGTCAATTGCAGGAAACGGTTTTATTGTGAGATTATTGTAAACGATTTACTCTAACATACCATTTGTGTACGGGGTATTTACTTTTATGTAGGCCGACATGTCACCGTGAATATTCCGAGGCAGCAAAGTAAACACTTTTTTACATTTCCGCAAAAAAGACGACAAATATCTAAAAACATTTTATGAGCGACCAGTTGGCAACAGGACCGTACTATAAACTACAAACCCGATTCTCACCCAACTGCCGCCGGGCGCAGGCACTACAATCGCAGAGCGGTCATTTACTAAAGTTACTCATAACATTTCGAGGAGATCGAATTTGTTATTCATGGTAGGGGCCGGTAATAACTCACCGAGCATTTTAAGTAGTGAGAGAGGGATGATAATGGTGTTCCGTATTGCGCCAGTAAATGTAATTTGGTCAAAGTATGAAACATTCTATAGTAAAGTATCCGAATACGAGCAGTTTGTCTCTCATTCCTTAACTCGCCACTTCATAATCCAGGCCACCGCCTACACTTGCAGTAACTGTCGGTATATCTCTAGTAAAGCGGGGGCACTATTTATGGACGCTCCCAGCGATCGAACGCGACGTGCACTCTCATTCATGTGCAGGTTCAATACGCTACTTCGATTCAAAAACCACGGAAACATTTTGTAGAGCTCCAATTTTAAAATTCAACATGTTGTGTGTATGGAAAAAGGATAAAGTATTTCCTCTCTTTGGTGTGATTCCAGTTTTCTCTTTGCCTGCGGAACATTGTTCAGCTGACTTTTCATTAATGTGATTTCAATTCGTACTTTTTTCAATAACAGGCAGTTGCAGCAGTCGCAGCGGTGCATCTCTGAGCAACGAGCCGACTTCTGTAACCTCTCCTCGCAAGAGCACGCTCAAGGTAATAATATCGTTTTGAACACGTGGATCTGGAGCAGATCATATCGAATTATATAATATCGTGTGCGTGTCTATGCATTGACTCCCAATTTTGGCGTCCATTAACATATCTTTCGATTTCCACAGCGCAGCAGCGAGTCAGAACTCAAAGAGAGGCCGAGCAGCGCCGGCGTCGCGCCGCCAAAAAAACGCGTCCAGATCCAAGAGATATCGGTGTAGACGATTTTTGAACGCGACCGTTAGTTGGTACCTGTACAGTATCTGTCGCGCAACTAGCTGGTCTCAGTGTGCGCGAGTACTTGCAGTGTGATGAACCGTGAGTGTGTGCGTGGCTATGTGGCAACGAAACTTTCAGTCATGTGTGACGCGACGCCGTGGTGTCTGCGGCAGGTTAGTGACACGCACAGGTCTACGACACTGAGTATGCACGAACATGTTTGTCCCTGGCTGAGCAGTGTCGCGCCCCACTGCCCCGGCTGCAGCGGTCGTATGTCCCGCACTATACAAATACTACAGGCATGGTGCATTACGTACCTACATGTGTGCGGCCCAAGCGACCTCTCTTCAGCGCTAGAATACACTGCTGCCTGTGTTCAGACCAATCGGCTTCCATCGCGAAGTCAATGCGCAATCGATACATGGTTTTCAATTTGCACAGATGTTGTCTAGGTATGAGAGCGGTGTATTCTAGCATCAAGTATCTACCTCCTAAACAATTAAACAGTTTGTGCTAATTCCATTTCTGTTAAGTTTATGTTATTGTTTGTCTTGAATTTATATGTTGTATAGTCTACTGCAGTGTTAGAACCTCTGTTGACAAACTGTTTTATATTATTATGTGATGATATTGAAGTATTTAATGGAATATTTGAGTTGTGAACTCTGAAGTAACTACTTAAGACCTTTTTATTACTACTCTGTACATAGTATTACTATATAGAAGGATATACATACATACATAATTCTGAGAACTTGTGGAAGCGATGCTGAATGGTTAACTTTGTATATAAATACTATTAGTTTCTATTATACGACATTGTAAATATTAGATTGTGGTGGATATCTGTGAACTCTGATGATTTTATCATCTGTAAAACGAGGTTTTATTAAAGACCATTTTCCTGAGATACGTTATTTTATTTTATAGCTTTAACTAAAACAATAGACAACCACTTTATAGAATACAATTACTTCGATGATAAGAACCTTTACACTTCTAATCTGGTGACGAACATTACAAAGTTAATTAATTTGGAAAGAGGCTCGGTAACGGCGGGTTTCCAAAGGTGATTGCGCAGAAACCATAGACCTGGCCAATGTAAAAGTTTTAATGGCTTAGCAAAAGTTAAAAAGGCAAAACCATCAACAAAGTGTTAGAGAGTGCGCACTTCGCACCGGCGCCATTGTTACACGGCCCGAGCGGCGCATGGCGGCCTGGAGGGACGATACATTTTGTTAACTGCTTCAATCAGCCTGCAATACAATCAAAGATATTCTACTTAACTCGTCGAGTACCGGTTTTGTAGACACAATTATAGAACAATAGGTTGCGGTCACCGGTGACCGCTTGGTGTTTGACAGTTTAAATGAAACGTATAATTACGATGGAAGGTGACAATGGGAATACTATAATAAAACTCAAGACAAAGGATATAAATACTGAAATCTTTTTGTGTGAAGTTAACAAAGTCTTTGAAGAGCTGTGTAGAAGTTATGATAGTCGTGGACAGCGAAAAATATGAAAGTTTCGAGACGAAGTTAGTTATTCAACGAGCTAGAACAGTTTGGAGCACCGGATAAAGATATGAATCTCTGCCAGAGATAAACTTTGAGAGTTTTCTTTTTTAAAAGAGTCCCTAATCTATAGAGCCTCGAACCTTTTGAATAATTTTCCTCAATACGTTTTCTTTAGGGTCTTATTTTGATCTTACCTTATTTATTTTCTACTTATTTCGGGATAAACGATTTTTGAAGATTTTTGAAGCTGAAGGGAGTTAATATTTAAGAGTAGAATCAACAATACGACGATCCAATAAACCTTATTAATATTTACCTGAACTTAGAACAAAGTTTTAACTTCAGACAACTAGTCTAGCTGAGTAGTACTCAGAAGAAAGGTAAAAAATAATTAAAACTTGGATTATTGTTTACTATACAAATGGAACAAATGGGCAACTTTAGTAAATTCGCTTACAAAAACGGAGGAACAGCTCGACGGTGGAACAATTGCCATTGAACCCCGGACCGCTCATTGTACCGCCAAACGAGAGTGCACTTAATTTATGATCCTGCTCTGAATGCTGAGGATGCTGGGAGGGGCGGAGGATCATCAATCAGATCCTCCGGAGGAAGCGAGGTGTCTCACGGTCATTTAAATCAAAAGAACAAGATGAACATTTTTGTACTGAACATGAATTATGATAACTTGTAATAATACTGAGTCTTGTATTTTGAGAGATATTTGGTACCTACTGCTGAACTTTTTCAATTCTTTATTTATTTGTTCATAATCTATAGCAAAGAACGAGTGCCTTAGATTGTTGAGAATTTCGAAATCAACATACCTACTGCAAGGACCGCCACATAAAAACTATTCTAGTTTATTAAATTTAGATTTTATTGGTTTGTCATTCACAGCCGAATAAGCAAAATATTAGTGTTTATTTCAGTATACGAAGGTTACTGCGCGTTGTACTCTTACTAAACCAGATCGTATGACAGAGCTTAGTCAAAGAAGCAACGTCTCCCAGTTGACTCTTAACAGTGAAAGAGTGCATTTCTACGCTTTGCATAACCCACTTCGTTTCCTGCAGTGTACAGTAAGGTGCAGCGTGCCGAGCGCGCCCTCTATGCCCTTCATACGGTAAATAGAATAACGCGACTCCCATGTGTCGTGCGTTTGTGCTCGCTACAGCTCACTTTGTACTTGTCCCACACGTTCCGGCTATCTGTGGAGTCCAGGGTATCTGTGTAGGTACTATTATATACTATTATATCAAACACATGTGGATACTGTCTTTTCTAAACCTTTTAATGTAAAAGCTATTACGTAAAACGCATAGAATTTTTGCTTAATAGATGTTTCTATGACAGTCGACTAGTTACGACTAGTTAGAAGCATGCGTATTAATCTTAAACTGTCAAACACCAAGCGGTCACCGGTGACCGCAACCTATTGTTCTATAATTGTGTCTATAAAACCGGTACTCGACGAGTTAATTTAAGTTTTTGACCGATATATGGGATTCATACTAACTGTATTAACCGTGCAACCTATATGCTCGGCTTCAAATATGAGCCTTTCATGTGTTAACATAATAGCAACTGCAACACATTTTCAGTGAATAGTTACTAAACTATCCCTAACTCATTCATTTTACAAAAGCTAAGAATTTAATACCTCGACAGCAGTACGGAGACGTAGCAAAAGAAACAATAGGAGGTCCTCTCATTAACGCATGCCATACTGCAGAACATTCAGCTAACATTCTCATAATTAAAACATTTCTAAACTATTTGTGAGCTATCTAGGGCGGCTGCACACTCTTTCAGTGAGTCGCGCCATGTTTCCGCTCGGCCGGTTATCACTGGGAACAAGTGTGTCGCCGGCTGAATAATGTACGACCTCGGTACGCAAATACTCTGACGAGCTAACGAGTAGCTTAGCTATGAGCACTCAGCATTGCAGGCACGACTTATTGAACACGATCGAAGAAGAAGACTCTGAGGACCAATGTTATATAACTCACTGAAAACTAAGTATTTTACAAACTCCACTTAAAGTGTTGCATTGTAATTTGGAAAAAAGTTTCAAATCGATAATAACTTAAATTTAAGTAGGTAGTAGGACAAATGGCATAATATGGCTTTACCCATAATATTGACATTCAGTCAAATCTGGTATAGACTCGGCCCATACCCCGAAATCAATTTGGGGAAAAGGCTCTCAAGGAGAAAGAAGAAACATGAAAGTAGGTTAAAACTGTGGTACATGATCTCAGAGTTATATACTATTTTACTGTTGAAATGGTCAGAGGACACTGTATGGAATAGGCATGGCGACTATTTTTTAATTTTTTGTCCGTCTTTTAGATTTTTTAAAAATCTTCGATACGTATTTTTTCTTTTTTCTCGTATCCAAAAAAACATGTAGATATTTTGAGTTAAAATGACGCGTGACGTCACACTTAGGTACGATTTCTCCGTAAGTGTGACGTCAACACCCCCCACTCCCTAACTTTAATGCGGAATAACAACGTATTCTTCTGTTAATTTGATAAAACAAAAAATACGTGTCTGATATTTTCGTGCGATCTTAATGACGGACTAATTACTTTTTTTTTTTTTACCCTGTCGACACGCCTATTGTCACTGTAAGACTGCGATATATTCCGTCAGCAGCCACACAACTGCAGGACTGTCTGTCTGTGCAGGAATAGCATTTCGTATTTTTCCCTGCAGAGGCCGCGCGGAATGTTATAAGCCTAATGCGCCAGTGTGTGTGTGTTATCATGGCGGTACGTGTTCATTTAGCGGGGCAGCTCATTACTGGACTCTGTTAATTATTGTGGTGTGTTTATATAAATCTGATTCCTGCTCGGTGGTGGTGGAAGTCATTCTCTGAATAATTTTATGAAATTTGTTATGTTATTGTTAATATAAAAATGATTCAGTATTGAATAATGTTAGATGTGAAGCTTCAATCGAGGTCGACATACAACAATACGGTCTTCGTATCGGAACATATACAGAGTTACTTTCCCATCTCCACGCAACTTAATCCTAAAGCACTAGGTATTCTTCATGTTACATATATTTTAGGGACTTGACGATATACCTATTCTCTATAAGTATAAAATCTACATACGCACAGGTTTCTCATTTTCGAGAGGCTTCAGAGGATCACAGACACGGACCTCTGAGCGTAGACCTCTGACTAAATCCAATATCTACATACATCTATACAAGACGTGAAGTAGGATGAAGCATAGGTACTCAAATATTTTATTAAATCTCGATCAAAAACCAAACAAATGATACAGAGAAAAGGTCCCATTGACATAATACCCTATATGAATATCTACCTCTACATGCGTGTGTGTGTCTGTCGTGAGACCAAATGTTCTTTAGAATAACATCCATCTTTCAGTCTCGTCAAACAAACCGTAGTCTCAAGTTATGGACAAAAACAACAGTGTTCACATATTTATGGCAGGGCTCGCGAGCTCCGGCCGGAGTGAAAGATGGGCCCACTTATACCGGGCCCCTATCTATAATGTAAAGACTTCACTTTTGTCTAACAGCTTCGGATATTGCCTACACAATCCATTGATGTCTATCGCCGTTATTTGTCAGATATACAAACTACATCCAACTTTATTCAGTATTTGAGAAAGAAGTTCGTTTAAGTTTCGACTGCACGATTGGTGCGGTGGCTGGGCAACCGGCTGCCGTGCAACGTGTCGCGGGTTCGATTCCCGCACGGAACAACACTTTGTGTGATCCACAAATTGTTGTTTCGGGTCTGGGTGTCATGTGTATGTGAACTTGTATGTTTGTAAACGCACCCACGACACAGGAGAAAATCCTAATGTGGGGCAACGTTAAAAAAAAAAGTATTCATTGATTTGCTGGGGGGCTGTTGTTTCATAAATCATACTGTACAGTGCTGGTTTGTACAGGAGACATCTACTGACCATGTTGCTTTATGGTTTCTATCACGAACATGCTTCATTTGAAAGTGATGACATGGAAATTTATGATTCTGACTTAGTGACTACATAACTTCATTTTTAGAGTGGATAAAGGAACTGAACAAAGTGTACACAAACAGTTAATGTAGCAGGCAGTACACTAATGCGATGCACTGAACTGAAGTGCTTGCGTACACGTGTAGAATGTGTAGAGGTATAATCTTCATGCGAATGTTAAATTTACTTTTCAAAATGTAGTTTGTAACTAAAGTTATGCACAAGCTCTCGTTAAATCCCTAAAGAAATGTACACGCTTCAGAAGTTTCCCCAAAGCGCCGGTGGAAGCTCTCCACGTTCAGCAGCTCAGTAAGTTGCCGAAACTTAGCGAACAATATACCGGCGCGTGGCACCACGCGGCACTCGTATCCTGGA